AATATATATATATATATATATATATATATTCATATTTTTGACAGTTAAGAGTTCTTTATACATTCTTGACCCTTATCAAATATATGATTTGCAAATATTTTTCCCTTTCTGCAGTTGTCTTTTTACTTTCTAAAATCTTTTTTACTTTTAATTGACATACCATAATTGTAGGTATTCATGGAGATTCATGTATTATTTCAAATACATATATAGGTTTAATCCTTACATTTGTACCATTAATCTATTTTAACTTATCTCACTTCTATGAATTCATTTCACCTTAAAAAAAAAAAAACTGAGGCACATTTAGTCTTGGAGTTGATACGATGATTAAATACAAGATTAGGCAGAAGAATCCTTGAGTTTACCAGCAGGAAATGAACTTGGCCTCCAACTCTGGAAAATGGGAATAGTAATAACTATCTCAAGGCTATGATTAGAAGAACTGATATAAGTCTCCTGGCAGAATACATGGTCTATGTGTAGCATTTATTACATTTTCATAGCATATTTATTAAGAGGAAAAGAGACCTGTAGCCAGGCGTGGTGGTGTATGCCTGTGATCCCAGCACTCATGAAACTGAAGCAGGAGGATCACTGTGAATTCAAGATCAGCATGAGCTACCAGGTGAGTTCAAGTCCAGCCTGAACTTCATAGAGAGACCCTGTCTCCCTCTCACACCCCCAGAAAAAAGAAGAAGGAAAGAAATGAGCATATAGCTCATTTTGTGAAGGCTCTGGGTTCAAGCTTCAGTACCAAAAAAAAAAAAAAAGAAGAAAGAAAAGAGAACTGTGACATGTCATAGAATGAAAAGTTGGGCTAGCTGGGCGGGGTGGCACATGCCTGTAATTCCAGCACTCAGGAGGCTGAGGCAGGAGGATCGTTGCGAGTTCAAGGCGAGCCTGGGCTACAAAGTGAGTTCAAGGCCAGCCTGAACTGCATAGTGAGACCCTGTCTCAAAAAGACAAAAAAAAAAGTTGGGCTATATAGTAATAACCCTATTTAAATAAGTTATATATCATAAAAATAGACTATTTAGAACCTTTACAAGCACATCACTAATTATTTTAGAGTGACAGAATTCTCACCTTACTTTTCTCATTCGGATTCACTAGGGAATATATTTTGCTGCTTAAAATCCTTTGAAAAGGGCACACACCAGCAATCCCAGTGCTCAGGAGGCTGAGGCAGGATGATCACTGTGAGATCTGTCTGGGCTACATAATGAGTTCAAGGCCAGCCTGCATGATGTAGGGAGACCTTGTCTCAAAAAGGGAGGAGGGTGTAGAATAAATAATACACCAAGAGCAATGGACAAATGGAGCTCCCAGATCTTGACTTCTGAATACTGATGTCCTTTTGAAATAAAGCAGAATTTACTAGGAAAAATGGCCAATCCATAGACTGTGGCAGGAAAGGCCAAGAGGGGCCTGCAATGGCTCTTTGCTCCAACCAGCCTCTGGGTGAAGTCTGGGAAGCCAGGTGTACCAGGAACCTTGTCATGAGGGGGTCCCCAGAGGTAGGACACAAAACAATAGCAAGTCCAGGTTCAAGTGTGAGTGTGCCCTTCGATTCAAGGCACAGGATCCAGCACACCCAGGAGCCTCCCAAACGAGGGGACCCTGGCTCTAGAAGAACAGACCCAATTCAGAGGAATGGGGAGGAGGTGAGGAAGAGAGTTCAGTCAACTGTGATGTCTGTGCAGAACTGGAAGCCCAACCCAGCGTTCGACCTGTGCCAGGCACCGGGGCTCGTTACCCCTGCCCTGAGCCACAAGGTGATAGGTTACCGAAGCGCATGGCCTCATGCTTAAAACACAGAAGGTTTAGAAGAGACCACAGCAGGGGTGGGGAGAGGGAGGGAGAGAGGAGGCTCAGGACTGAGCCTGAGAGGGAGGAAAGGAGGCTCAGGACTCGGTGTGTTTTTGTCTTCCACACACCACCCCCCACCCCAATGAGAGCTATGTGCTCTCTCAGCTTTCTCCTCTGGAGGCCTCTCTGAGCTGCGGTGAGGACAAAGCCTTCCATGAAGCTACCATCCTGGGTGACAGATTTAAGAACTGCCCCGGGAGAGAAGCTCTAAAATTCACTGCATTTTTCTCCAACTTTTGAGCAATTCTACAAGTTTAAGAACTACTCTGGCAAACACAAGGTCCTGAGTTTGATTCTCAGTACCAAAAAAAAAAAAAAAAAGTCTTAAAATATTAGGGCCAGGGACATAGCTCAGTGGTACAAGCACCTCCCTGGCAAGTACAAGGTCCTGAGTTTGATTCCCGGTACAAAAAAAAGAAAAAAAGTGAGGAAAGACTAGTTTTAGGGCTGGGGATATAGCTCAGCAGCACAAGCGCCTGCCTGGGAAGTGCAAGGTCCTGAGTTCGATTCCTGGTGCAAAAAAAAAAAAAAAAGATTGTAGCTGGGCGTGGTGGCACACCCCTGTAATCCCAGCACTCGGAAGGGTGAGGCAGGAGGATAATTTCAAGTTTGAGGCCAGCCTGGGCTACAAAATGAGCTCAAGGCCAGCCTGAACTGCATAGCGAGAACCTGTCTCAAAAAGACAAAAAAAAAAAAAAAAAAACTACTGGCCAGGTGTGGTGGTGCACACCAGTAATCTCAGCACTCGGGAGGCTGACGCAGGAGGATCACAGAGAATTCAAGGTCTAGAGTAGAATTCAAGGTCTAGAATTCAGCCTAGAGTACATAGGAAGACCCTGCCACCCCAAAACAACCCAAAAAACAAACAAATAAAAAACTACTGGAGAAAACAATCTAGGGGTCTTTCCAGCAAGAACTATGTCCAGAAAATATTACTGGCCTAATATCAATGCACAGGTTGACAGCACACTGCCTTCCCTTTCACCAGACAGACATCACCATCGACCCAACAGCTCTAGGCAGGTGCTACCAACCTGCTGGCACTGACATAGGGAAGGAAAGCCCCCCAACACTTAGGACCAGACCCCCATGCCTGCTGAATCCCAGTGTAGCCCCAGGGGCTGGAGTTTGAGGGGGTCCTTACTTTGTGGAGGAGGTCCTCAAGGCTACATGCGGTAATGCCCTTCCGCACACTCCGATCTGCGGTGCTCACTCTGCAGGGCCGGGCTCTGGGGGCATCTGCACCGGCCTTGGGCACCAGCTGCTGAGTTACCACCGAGGTACTCACTGCCACATGCCTGGGGCAATTGGAAACATCAAGATGTGCCACCTGCTGCCGCAGCACTCAGCCCCTCTGGCCCCGCCCCTCCCACACCTGCTGTCCTTCACCAAGCTCGCACCAGACACCCTCTCTCAGAAGCCTGCTAGCAGTGCATCTCAAGCTCTGATGGGCACACAAAGTCAGCTGGGCACCTTGCTCCAATGCAGATGCCAGTTCAGTAGGCCTGGGTGGGTCGAGGGTTCAGGTGCTAACACATGCTCAATGCCTGTCAATGTTGCCGGCTCTTGAACCTGGATCTTGCGTGCAGGCAGGCCCACGTTTAGATCTTGCCAGCATTACAGGTTTGCTAGGTAACTGGGAGAGCCCCACTGCCTGTTTCCTCACCTGTTCACTTTGTATAACAACCCCATTTCCCAATGGGTTCTCATGAGGCTTACATGAGGTCAGGCATGAAAGCACAGAACCTGTCCTTTTCTGTTGGAGCATGGTGGTGGTATTGGTGGTGGCAGTGGCACTATTAACACCCCCTGGGGTCTGAATCTCAGCTCCAACTCCAGCCCTCCCAAATCAGAAGTGGAGCTCTAATAAGATCCCCATAGGACTCACACCATTACAGTTTGACAAGCTCACCCCTACAGCTCCCCAGCCTTCCTCCCTGGGCTGTTCTCACTTACCTGGCCAGGGAACTGGGGTAGAGAAGACTGAGGGACTTCATGGCATAGTCCATCCTCGTCAGCTGGACCGCATCAGACCTGAGAATGTGGAGGAAGGCTCCAGTTAGGGTGAGAAGGAAAGGTTCCCATCTCTCGTTTGGCACTTGAAGCCCCGGCCTGGCCCCCTCCCTCTGTCTCTGTTGCTTACACACACACACACATACACACACACTCCTCCCTACGCCTTTGGTCCAGCCCCACTCAACATGACCAAGATGGTATCTCCCACCCACCCCTGTGTGCAGCTTGGCCCTGCTCAGCAGCTGCTCGCAGCCCCATGCCACTCACTCCATGTTTCTCTGCCCTGGCTCTGGTCACAGTGAGCAGAGATCCTGAGTTGGACTGCAGAGGCCCTGCCTGGTTTATGGCTGTCCCTGGAGTCAGAGTCCACTCTATGCTGGCAGGAGGTGAGTCACACTGCCTCACACCTCTGGGGACCTGAAGGTCACCTAGAGCCCAGAGACTTCCCAGGCGGCTGGCCTGGTCTGAGCTGTTCTCTCCTGCAGGTCCTTGACCAGTCACCTCAGCCCTAGGCCGTAAACCCCTACTGGCCCAGCAGACTTCTTGGGCTGATGGAGAGGCTGGGCTCATGCTGCTCCACAGAGGCTTCTAGCCATGGGTGGCTCCTGAACACTTGAAATGCACCTAATATGACTAAGGCGATCCATTTTTTAATTTAAAAAAATTAACTAATTTGCTCCTTTCTCAGACCCAGAGCTCTGCTTTTGCATCCTCGAGGTCCCAGTTTCACCGCTTTCTTCTCCTTGAAAGCTCTCAGATGACTGAGTGGCTCTTCATCCTGCCCCTCCTCACCAAGTGTGCCTCAGTGCCCAGTCCTACTGTAGCCCCTGCCCCTGGGTGCCTGGCCAGTGAGCGCCTTCCCTGGTCTCAGCTCCCTGCACAGAGAGAGCTGGCCATAGAGCAAGGCACACAGGCAGATAAAATCACTCTTTCCGAAAGCCCTCTTCCCTGCCAAGTGCTATTCTTCATTCCCTATCCCTAGTAAGACCGCCAAGCCCAGCATATCTGCTCTTTGGGAGCAAAATGCCCAGTCCTCACCTCCCCCTCACAGCCTTCTTGCTGCGCTGCACAGCCCAGGCCTCCTCCATTTTATCCAGTTCCCCACAAAGCCACACCCCTGGCCTTCAGCCTCAGTTTGGAATAGAGCATAGGGAGCTGCCGCCTAGGGATTTCAAGCCAGCCTGACTTCCAGAAAAGGCCTGAAAGGAGGGAAGAAGGCATGTTTTGAAAGCTTTGGGAAACATGGTATGAGGCAAGAGGGCACCGAAGCAGGCAGATGAGTATTGTGGTCCCACCTCCTCCCCTGATTGGCTGTTGGAGTGTAGGTAAGTCAGCTTACTTCTGCGAGCCAGTCTTTCTCTCCTATATAATGCGGATAATGATGCCTGTTTGATAGGGTTGGGGGTTTGTGATCATCAGAGTAGAAGCTTTGCAATTTAGACAATGGATGGACGTGATTATTAGTATTACTGATAATGTATTGAATACATACATTTACTAGAGACTAAATGTATGTTGAAATGCATAGTGGTTAAGAGTGTAAGATGTAGCTAAGGTGTGGTGGTACATGCCTGTAATTCAAGCACTCTGGAAGGCTGAGGTAGCAGGATTACAAATTTGAGCCCAGTCAGGGCAATTTAGCAATTCATTGAAACCTTATCTAGGAATAAAAAAGGGCTGGGGATGTAGCTAAGGGCAAACCCTGGGTTTAATCCCCCTGAACCTCCCAAAAAGAGAGTATAAGATTTTTTTTTGAGACAAGGTCTCACAGTGTAGTTCAGGCTGACTTTGAATTCACTATGTGGCCCAGGCTGGCCTCAAACTCATGGTGATCCTCCTGCCTCAGCCTCCAATGTACTGGGATTATAATCGTATGCCACCATGCCCAGCTCAAAATAGTATAAGATCTTATACTCCAGCTACTACACACACACACACACACTTCCCAGAGAAACAGAAATATATGTTCATAGGTCTGCACTAAAACTTGTACACAAATGTTCATAGCATTATATATACCACCCAAAAGATTAACCTGTACTCTTGAGTGTCAACTTACTTCCCTTGAGATGCCTGGGGGATATTATAAAGCACAATACTTGGTATGTCTGGGTGGTCGTGGGGGTGTGACCTTGGGGACTGTGTCTGATCCTTGTCCTCTTCCTCCCTGGCTCTTTCCCTGTCTCTCTGCTTCCTGGCGGCCATGAGGTAAGCAGTTTTTATCCATCATGTTGTTTCTGCCTTGAAGTCAGCAGACCATGAACTGAACCCTCTGAAACTGAGCCCAATGAACCTTTCTACTTTAAACTGTGTATGTCAGATATTTTGTCCCAGAACCAGAAAAGCTGATAAATACAAACCTGAATGTTCATCAGTCGGTGAATGGACCAAAAAATGAAGTATACTGAGGCAAGAGGATCTGTGAGTTTGAACCTAGCCTTGGCTACATAAGTTCAAGACCAGCCTGACCTACATAGCGAGATCCTGCCTCAAATAAACAACAACAAAAGAAGTATAAGCCAGGCACAGTAGTGCACATCTGCTTTCCCAGTTTGGGAGGCTGAGGCAGGATTACTGCAAATTTGAGTCCCACCTGTGCAATTTAGCAAGACCCTGTTTCAAAATAGAAGATAGAAAAAAGCTCAGTGGTAGAATGTCATTGGGTTTGATCAGATAGATCAAACACAGGCATAGACACACAGAAGTATATGCATAAATAGGGTATTATTTATCAATAAAAAAATACATGTTACCATGTGGATGAACCTTGAAAACATCATGGAAAATGGAAAAAGCCAGTCATAATGTATTGTATCATACTATATGATTCCACTTACATAAATGTCTAGAACAGGGGGCTGGGGATTTAGCTCAGCGGCAAAAGCGCCTGCCTGGCAAGCGCAAGGTCGTGAGTTCGGTTCCCGGTCCCGGAGAAAAACCAAAAAACCAAA